GCACACAGATTCTATTAATTCCTTCTTTAGTATTCACTTTCGTAATTTGTGTAAAGTTTTGAAGTTCTTGATCGCCTTGGGAAGCGAACTATCGTACCTTTGCTTCCGGGTGACCAAAAGTTGGTAAGTATCTCGTAGATCTCTTCAAAACGCTCCCTTTAACAACTTCATTAATGCGCGCAGGTATCATCAATCATTTAATCTTACAATCTATGGCAAACTGAAAGATTAGATCAATGTGTATAAAATTTTTCAAGTACTAAATTACATCGTGTAATCATATAGTAATACCTATTGCAATACGTTTTGGCAAAATTAAGATGAATTCCGATGCGTGTGAATAAGATAAGTAAGTTGTTGCGATGAATTTTACTGAGTAAAGTCTAACTGTTCGCCTTTCACAGAGCGTGAGGCGCTATGAAAGAAATAGTTAATTCCATTTTGCATTTTGGCTAATTCCCATTTGAGAAAATTAACACCGAAATTCCAAATTTTAAGTTCGTTTCAAAATTGTGTAATTCAGCCAGAGTATGAAAATAAACAAGTAAATAAAAATATTTCTAATGTCTATTTAATGGTAGCTAGTGAAGAATGTAGTGAGTATATATAGTATAAGGAGAGGGATGTACCGAAAGGGGGTAACGGCAAGGAAGCATCTAGGTGCACAATGTTAGAGTTTGATTTTTCATTAGTTTTTACTCTATTTTCAAGCAAATGTTGAGGATTGTCAGCTAGATCTATTCCATATGATTTCTTCTTTCCTTTCGAACGGGGGGCTGAGAAAGATTCATTGACTATTAAATTGGAAAATAAGAATACATGGTATCCTAATAATTCCGAACATAACTCGACATTTTTTTTACAAATTGACAAAGGATCATAAAGGATTTTAAGCCTCGTAATACCCAAAAAAGCAAATCGTGCAAACAGAAATATGTATATTTTGAGCTTTTGTCAAACATAATTTCAAGGTATTACCAACAGTTATAGAAATTTATAAATAATTAATTGCCTAGAGCGTAGAATTATTCGTTTGCCATTTTTAATGCGTTTTAATTGTTGGTGCAGTTGTTGTTGTTCGTTTCATCCTTTTGTAGGCTCCCCTATTATCCAAAGGCAACAACAGTTTACATTCCAATTGTTGTGTTGCCTCTGCACACAAAAATGTTGCATATTTGAAATACCCAATGGCAACAGACAAACGATGGGTATTAGAGACTGCTTAGCTGAAATTATGCTTCTATTCCGTATAGTTCTGCCATTAGCTCTTTGAGTTATATAAGCAAAATATTTAATTTAAAAATTATTTAATTGCATTTTCACTAGATATGGTACATTTCTTTACAGGGTAACTGGCAGTCGAGCATTTGTTACTTGCATCAATTATGCTCGTGTGGGTGTTGCCATTGATCTTTGTAATGAGCCACACACACACATATATAGAGTATATACAGTACATATATTATGTGTTTGTGTATTTAAAATGCAATTTGCATGGCACACGTCATGCGGGGGCTATATACAATTTTTAAAATGATTTATTTAAGCTCATTGTTGCCATTGAGCAATAAAAACACGAGCAAAAATTACCAAATTGCCAAATTGGCCGCAATTAAGACCCAACAAAAATGTGGCAGCTTTAAAGTTCAAAATGTATTTCTGATAAAAATCAAAAAGGGGGACAAATCGGTGATGAAGTGGGGCAAATACAGCCTAGTTGCCAAGGTTGCAGTTGCATTTCAAATATCGATACATATATTTATTTAATGTATTTTTAATATTTAGGCAGCAATATTTTGGCTCGGATGCCATAATGTACGCACATAAACCGCTTATGCGACTTAGACATTTTTTAGCGCTTTATAACTATTCTGATCGGCAGTCATTACCGATACAGACAAAGAGCAGACCGCCATGTGGTATATTTTTTTTTTTTTTTTGGTATTTCGTGGTTAAGCGCATGCCAATCAGAATTTTGATCAGACGCCATTTTGAGTGCCGCCTGGTAGCGGCGGAGACAGCCTGTGCAATGCATATGTATGCACACACGCACACACACACATGTACATGCACTGCAGCAGCAACACATGATAAGAGTACGTCGTTTTCTCCACTTTTTTTTATGGTATTGGAAAAACTATTCAAGTCTAATGGCACGAAAGAGAATAATGACGCACAATACACTTCGACAGTTTAAACGGATTCACATGATTACAAGACGCACACACACACATACACGCACAACTCACATAGTAAATGATGTCTGTCTGTCGCCGTTTGCAGAAACTTGTTAACCATTTGAAGGCGACAAATGTCGTGCGCATTAGAGCCCAAGTTATAAGGATGCAGCACTTGGCAGTCGCTTCGAGTTGCTTTGCGCTTCTCTTCTCCTTCTTCGTCTGCTTTTTGGCATGCAAATTTGAGCGCGCATTTGCCTTGTTGGAGCTTAAATGAATTGCACAATTTAAATCTCGCAAATTAGATGCGTAAGAGAAGAAGACAAGCGAATAAGGAATTATTTTTAAAGCGAACTTTTCGGCATGTCGATCAGCTGATCGCTTGCAGTGGCTACAATGCTGCCATCTACTAGTTCATCAAAATGTGCTAAATTAGCCAGTAGGGTGTGGACTTGAAATTAAAAAACAAATGTATGTATGTACATATGTATGTGCACGGCATGTTAGCACGCAACAAGGACTTGAGGTTCACAAAGCAACGACCGTAGCAACTGCAGGAGTAGCAGCAGCACCAACAGCAACAGCAACTGCAGCAATGGATGCACATGTAAATGCGCGCATGTGACAATAATTCGTTTGCGGTTTGAGTGGGCTTGTGTGAGCCGTCACATACATACATACATTGACGGTGGCGTCTGTTTGTTTGCGCCGCAGTCGGCAACAACTGAGTGGCGCATGTTGTGGGACTTTGACTATGATTTTCTAATTCAATTATTATTCAAATCATATAATTTCATCTTTACAGCACGCGCAGCATGGCAGCATGCAAGCGAAGAAGAAATAAATTACAAAAAAATATATATGGCAACACTGGCAGCATGTAAATAATCACATTACGCACATGCGGTCGCTGCTTGATGAGTGCGCAAAAGCGATGACATTTTAGCTTTTTAATAACCATGGCGGGCTTATGCGAAGAGGCAATGTACTAAAGGTGGGAAGTTAAAATGTAGATACATAATTATAACTAGTTTAAGATGGATATATTTTTGTCGTTTTATTGCATATTTATTGACAGTTGATCAGTTGATAGCGATTTTTGGCTTTTTTTTTTTCTTGTAGATTTGGCTTTTTAATTTATGGCAGCACTGTTGGCTTCAAGCACCACAATAAGACAGACGTACAGGCAAATTGAGAAACCGCTGTGCTGCTGTCTGTCATCCAATCCAATTTGAGGCGCCGCCAACGAGGACGACTGCCTGCTGTCATCTGGCAACGCCGACGACAATGTTGCCATGTCACGCGCGAGCCGCCTACAATGAAATTTATTTGCTTTGCTTCGTCTTTCATTTTGCGCCTTTTGTCTTGCTGCTGGTAGCCAGCCGGCCCCCTTGGCTTCAGCTTATCCTTCATTTGTCCCGCTGTGCCGTCACTGCATTTATTTATATGTACTATATATATATATAAATATGTATGTATGTATATTGGTATATTATTGTGCATATTAATATTGTTAAAAGCGCGTGCCGTACGCGCGCGCCTCTCTACAAAATTAGCCAGCCATTCATTGAAGCGCACGCTGTGCGGTTACGTCGGGGCTGTCCACAAGGGAGTGCGAGTGAGAGCGAGAAAGGGGCGCGAGGGGTCAAGCGAGTCGCTGAACGGTTGAATAAATGAACGGGCGTATCAATTTACACACCGGAAAGCACACACACAAACACACACATGCGCAGGTGTCTCTGCCTGCCTCTCTGTATGCGTGTGTGTGTATATTTATAATTTTTGTATGTGTGTACTTATTAATGCGTATTCATTGTCACATCCGGCGCAAGGAAATTATATTCGCCAAACGCAGCCGGACAGACACCACCCGCCCCCGCCCCCCACATCCACTTTGTGTTCAACTGCTTTTGCCTTGGGGCTGCGGCCAGACGTTTCTTTTGTAGATTTAATTGAAATAATTGCAAAAATGCAAATGGAACAGACAATAGTTGACACAGGATATTAAGCGTGGCAATAATAATGATGATGAGAATGTTGATGATGATGATGATGATGATGTTGAACTCTTGAGTTATCCAGCCTTTGTTTTTCTTTCCTGCTGCTTTTGTAATGAAATAATTAGTTTGAAGAACGCTCAGCTCTGGAGATCAAGTCAGCTGATTGGTTCAATGAACCAGTTATCCTTTAGTGTTGGGTAATTGCACTTAATCATTATGAGTAGTTCATGTTCATGGTATTCCTCTGAGAGACTATCCTATTGCCAAATAAACTAGCTGTTATTCAAATGAGTCACCCGTTACTCACTTGAGCGTAAGTGTTGCAAAACGAGTGAAAGTGAATGGGGGAATTTAATTTGTTAACTCCAAGCCTTGCCGCAGCTGGCTGTGGCGTTGTCAAGCCATGGGTCGAGTGAAAGGCAGCTGAAAATATTTACTTATTTGCCATTTATTTTTGTTTAATTAAACGAATGGATAATATCATTGACAATTGCGGCACTTGTCGCAATAATTATCAAGGATATGTATGCATAAATCGAATGCCAGACGCAGAACAATTGCAATGGACACAGGCACGCTTAAGGACAATGAAAATGGGACTAACAGAAAGAGAAAGAGAATATATATGTAAACATGTACAAAAAATGTCCCATTTTTGTAATACCAATATTTTTAAAATTTGTATGATTTTCACAGCTTTATGCATCTCATTGAAAAATTAACAATCTCCTTTTTTTTTTAAATTTGGTAAATATCTTGTGTACACTGATCTTTTGTAGAACCGAAATTTGAATAATTTCGGGTAGGCTTTGCTGCATCCCTGAGAATGTTGTCAGCTTTGGGTATTGAAAGCAACTATATATTTTCATTAGTGTACTAACTTCGTAAGCAATCGTTTCAAAAAGTAACAAGCAGAAAACACAAGAATTTAAAATGAAAGAATTTGAGAAAATTAATAATGATGCCACTGACGAGAAAAGCACCCGCTTCCAAATAATGAATGTAAGAGAACATCGAGTTGCATCTAATTATATGGTGGAATTAGCCGAAAAAAAAATTAACCTAACCTATATTTCGTTCTATTCTTTTCTTTTTCTATACAGTGGAATGCCAATGCTTTTTGGGCTTGGGGTAAGTTATGTATAGCAATTTGGCATAATATTAGACGCCTATCTTCAACTTAGATATTGGGGTTGATACTTGCGCCATTTGTCGCAATCACATTGATGAGCTATGCAACGAGTGCCTATCGAATATGTCCGTTGATTGCCCGAAGGCTTGCGGGGTCTGCCAGCACGTTTACCACTACCATTGTATTTCGCGCTGGCTGGCTAAGCGTCATGTCTGTCCCTTGGACTATCTCGCCTGGCAATATAAAAACTGAGACCAAAATTCCAAAGTGAGACTAGAGAGTATATCAAGATATAAAGTTGATATCTATATACTATATACATATATGTATTCTGAATAAATTTATTGCATTGAATTATAAAATTTGGTTATGTCTTTACTTGAGATCAGATAGAGATTACATAATATATATATAATACTATATAGAGAGCATATACAGATATGTGTATATATTGTATATAGCATACATATGTATATGCTGTAACTGTAAAACTTGGTTTTTTGTTTGAGATCATATATGATATACCCTCTATATAGAAATATATATTTATATATTCATATTAATGGAATCTATGTATATGAGCATAATTTATCAATCTCCAGCATAATTAGCTAATTCCATCAAATTTTATCAGTTTGATTGTCTTATCTATTAGTATTTTAGGTGTGAGGAAATAGGGATACTTCAGATTTTATGTAACGATATATAAAAGACTGATTTAATATCGAAATACTTTAAATTTATAAGTAAATTTAGATACAAATTTTAAATTTATAGCGTATACTTCCAACTCAGAACAGTCCTAATTACTGTCTCAGCATATTTAACATATGTGTTATGATACCCTCCATATCTGATTGGTATTATTCGCAATAAGCTTATTGAAGCAAAGAGTTAATCTATCGAATATAACAATAAATTGCAATTTCATCCAAGTGGCAGGCTTAAGCTCTCTCATCTGGCAGCCATTTGACTTATCCGCAGCTGTTGCTAAATAGCTCATACGCCGCGTTGTTCAAGTTGCAGCTGCAGCAGCTTGGGCCCCATTGGGTAACATTTGCGGCTCGGCGGATGTGAAGGATGAAGCTTGTTTGGCTGAAGTCTGCGGTCTCTCTGTGTCTGCTCAACTTCCGCTGCATTTGGCTTTTAGCTGTTCACGTTGCCATTTCCATTGCTGTTGCTGTTGTTGCTGTAGCTGTAGCTGTAGCGGTTCCTCTTCCTGATACGCGTTGTCCTGTTGCTGGTCCTGGTTCATGTCTGCCTCATAATTGTGTTGATTAGCTAATTAGCTGCAATTCCGCGGCCGGAAATTGCCCGTTTTGTGTGGCCCAAGCACCAGCAGCTGATAAAATGGTTACCAGAGCGTCGCTCTCCCCATCCCTCTCACTCCCTATCTCCCGCCCTCTCCCTCTCGCTGTCTGTCTCTCTATATGTATATCTGCTTCCCTCCCACAAACTCTAATTTTTAAGTGCACTTGCTGTCGGCTTGCCACATAATCTTGTCATGAATATATTTGTTTTGTTTGCCTCGACTCGTCGCTCTCTCTCTCTCTCTCTCTCCTCTCTCTCTTTCTCTTTCTCCCTCTTTGCACATCGCCTAAACGTTAAAGTCGCGCCATAAAAATTCATTGGCAAAAAATACGAACAAAACGAGCCAAAGTATTACCAATCGCCGCGAGTAAGCAGCCCAGACGAGTCGCATCTCAGCTCTGCCTCTGGCTGTGGCCATAAAAGTTGAGCCACATCAACGAGCACTGGGCGTGCCCCACACCCAAGCATCATTCACTCCCATTGAATAGTCGCAGTTCTTGTATGCTGGCTTGCTTCTGAGAGGTTTTTGATTAATTCTTACTCGCTGTGCAGTTACTCGCTGTACTCTTATTCGCTATACTGATACTCACTGTACTGATACTCGCTGTACTGTTATTCGTTGCACTGTTACTCGCTGTGCTGTTACTCGCTGTACTGTTATTCGTTGCACTGTTACTCGCTATACTGATACTCGCTGTACTGTTATTAGTTGCAATGTTACTAGCTGTGCTGTTACTCGCTGTACTGTTATTCGTTGCACTGTTACTCGCTATACTGATACTCGCTGTTACTCGCTGTAATGTTATTCGTTTGTTGCACTGTTACTCGCTGTGCTGTTATTCGCTATACTGGTACTCGCTGTGCTGTTACTCGATGTACTGTTACTCGCTGTACTGTTATTCGCTGTGCTGTTACTCGCTATACTGATACTCACTGTACTCACACCCGCTGTACTGCTATTCGTTATGGTGTTACACAGCTTCACTCACTGATTACTCGCTGTACTTATCAGCTCTAATCGTTCATTATCAACTTGCCAGAAATCAAGTATTTTCTCGTTGCTCAACATTTTCACTCTCAACTTGCTGATGACTTCTCTACTACCTGCTCAAAATTTATTCACACAGTCTTTCCATCTTCTGCTTCTGCATATAAAAATTGCTCGCTCCAGTTTTTCGTTTATCCCAGAACACTCGTTACCTCAGATTTGCAATCTTTCTACTCGTCATATTTTTCATTGCTTTCCATTTACACATCTCTTTCCCTCTCACTCCATATTTCTTCCTGTCTCTATCTCTCTCTCTCCCACTCTTTCGCTCTCTTTCTACCCACTCGTTACTCGTTCGCAGCCTATCGTCTCGCTGTACATGATGTCGACCCAGAAAAAAAGCTGATGAAAAAGAAAAACATTTTATAAAAGGAATTGCACAAAGTTTTCCTCAATATTAAAGCGAAGATGGGTTAGGGACGGGTTTCTAAGCGAGAAAAGTATGCTACATCAAGAGAGAGAGAGAGAGATAGCGGGGAGAGAGCCAGGGCATACGTCGACAATGCAGGCAAAGGCAATGAGCTTAAGTTCAATACATTTACTTGAATTTTCAGCTACGATGACGACGTCGATGTCGTTGACTACTTGGCATTGGGAGTGGATATGCTCTATGCCATGGACGAGGGGTGGCAGCTGATGGGTGGTAGACTCGGCGGCTGGGGGTAACATGGTAGCCCCCACGCCCCATTACAGCACATTCTGTGGCGCAAAAAATATTCGGGAAGAGCGCAAATGTGCGAGGCGATAAGCAAAGCAGAAGCAGCAGCAGCGCAGCTCCACTCAAAGCTCGATTCTGGCGCCTTGGGAGGGACAATTTTGGTTGTGTTTTCTTTTTTTCGGGACACTATATAGAGCTCTGCTCTATCCGAGTCCTATTCCAAGGCAATGCAATATGCGGCGCATTTAATTAATTTATAGTTACATTTATAGCTGAATCTATCAACGAAACTCCAGAAGTTCACTATAATGTACTGTTGAGCTTGCTAAGAAATTGAAGCTATATGTCGAGCATCAATCATCCAATCAATCAACACAACTTTCATGCTCGTTTTTTTCCATAAGGCAAGACTTAGGCTTTACCAACTCCAAATTTGTATGCAGTGCGGAAAACATCTTACTCAAGTCAATCAATCATACATCACCTTACATAATATTGGGGAAAGACAGTCGATTATCAAACCCATAGGAATTTTAATTTTGGAAGCAGTTCAATCATGCCAGTCAATCACTCAATTAATTAATCCATTCTAAGTATCTAACAAAAGCAATAGAAAATGCTCACAGCTATAACTAGGTATAACAATCATCAATCACCAACTCATCATTTCAATCAATCAATCTGTTAGTGCTTTAAGCTCTTACACAACGTGAGAAAATAATAATTAATATGAGGCTGGACGTTATCAATCAAATTAATTAATGCTAATTAATCAGTCAATCAATCAATCCATCAATCCTTCCTCGCTCTTACTTAGAATGGAGGAATGGAGGAAAAAACACAAATATTTGTGGCTACACATGACACATCAATCAATCAGTCAATCGGCCAAGAAGTAAGTGAAGCAACCCCTTCCTAACTCATCATCAATCAATCAATCAATCAAGAATTAAGTGAATCAAACCCTTTCCAACTCATATAGCGCATAGCTCTTATAGTTATAGGCTGCATGTTCCGAGACTAAATCTTTCAGTCAATCAATCAATCAATCATTCAGTCAATCGCTTTTACAATACTGCCGAATCAGTTGAATTGAAGCTACGAAAGGGTGTTGGACTGTGCGCATCACTAACGGCATTCGGCAGCGCTTTTCGGCACACACACACACACACCCATTCCCATCCCACACACACACACACATACATTGGGCGAGAAAATTGATGTCCATGTGGGTGGGTTATGTGTGTCGGTGTCTGTGTGTGCAAGTGCTTTTTGTGGATTGAGATTTTGGTGGCGCGTTTGTAAGTTTTCCGTATTCGTTTTTCGCTCTTTTGCAAATTTATCGCTTTTAGATAAAACGTTTTGCGTTTTTACGATACGAGCAGCAAACGCTGCGAACTATCAGCGGGCGATGCTGGAAGAGCTTTGTTTTATACCCTGTACCAATTGGGCAAATGATAGCGAAATGCGTGTTGCGGCAGAAGGAAGCCTTGACGACTGCATAATGCTTATGGCATTATCTGTCAGGAATATCGATAAGTATCGATTATTTAAGTATGCCTTGCATTGACATAAGTCGACAGCTATAAAGCCAAGTGATATACAATTGGGTATGTAGGGCATATACCCTATATATTTATTTAATTTCTTTGTTGACTTATTCCAGCTAAGCATCAAGCAGAGACCATGGCACGGCAGACAGGGTATCCCAGAGTCGTTTCCTCGGCATGTGCACTGCTGGATTATGAAGTAATTTAATTAAAACGTTTTAGCACAAAATAAATTTCGAGCATTATTTATGCAGCAACAGTTCGAGGCCAAAGACGAGCACAGAGCCGAGCAGGGCCCACAGTGTTAGCCAGAAGAGGGCGGCCAGCTCCTTGAAGGATAATACCAATAGTTTGGCCTGCGCTGCCTCATCCTCGCGCTGCTCGATTTCACCCTCCGGCCGATGGCCATTGAGCGTCTCATAGGGCACCGCAGGGATCCGGGCGATGCTCTGCTCGGATTCATCCACAGCGCTAACATATTGGCGCGTCCAGTGCTCGAGGAAGCCATGCAAATGGGCCTGCATAATCTGCTTGTTGAGCACGCCAACCAGATGCGAGTGCCGGCGCACATTGAACGCCAGCTGCTGGGTGAAGATGCGCTCCCTGACCAGATGCAGTCGGCGACTCATCGCGTGCACCTTGCGAAAGTAGCCAAAGTATTCGTATGGCGTTATGATCGCCACACGCTCATCGCTGCCGCTGAGCGCGGCCAGGCCGGCAAAGGACTGCAGCTCGCTGGTCTCCAGCTCCTGCGTCGGCTCCCGATGCTTCAGCTCCGGCAGGCTTTCCATCCAGCGCTGCGCATTGCCAGGCGCCAGCTGAACCGTATACCTCTGGGCCAGCACCTCGGCTATAGTCTGTGGCGGATTGCGCTGCCTGTCCTGGCGCAGCATCTGGTACATGCCCGACTGGTAGGCGCTGCGTATGACCAGGGTGCACAGCAGCCACGTGACCAGCAGCAGGCGCAGCGATACGCGCTGCGGCAGTTGCCGGGACAACAGATTTCCGCCTATGGTCAGCAGCAGCAGCTGGTAATACGGATGCTGGGGTAGAGTTGAGAGGAAAACATGTTTGTAAATAGACATTTGTTCAATAAATCTAACCTTAATTAACATAACCTAAAAAAACATTTCTTCACTTAACCTCACTATTTGTATAGACATAAACATATGTAATTATAAATATTGATTGTAAGTTAACTTCTCTATCATATATATTACCTGCGGCATCTTCTTCGCAAATCGCTCCAATAGCCAAACTACGAAATAGCCCAGCGCTAGGACCAGCGCGATGGCCCGCCACAGAGCGGGATCAAAAGGAAATGCCAGTTTCTCATAGGCCGAGTAAGCACTGGGCAGATTGGTCACCAGCATAATGTGGCTCATGAAGTAGTATCTCGACTGCGAATAGGGCACCTCATCCCGCTCGTTGGGCTTATAGTGGAAGCCACCCAGCGCATATTCTGCTTTACTAAAGATCTGTGAGCAAAATAAAATGACTGAAATAATACTGAAATATATACCAATATATTTTAATTATATTTTATAAATACCAAATAATGCTTCATATATACAGCAAGTACCGCCAATTATTATTATTATTAAAAAAAAATTTTCGAATAGAATCTAATTTAATTTTATAATACCAAATAAAATACCCCATTCCTAGTACAGTAGAGTCCCCATAATTCGATTTACAAAGAAATTTAAAGTATCGACTAGTCGAGAATGAACGATTTTCGATTTAGTGGGGCTCAAATTATTCAGACTCGACTGTACCAAAAAATGTCCAACATAAGTTTTCAGCACTGGTTTTCCTTCAACCGAAATAGAAACCCGAAGCTAGGGCAACCCTTTTAGTATTTGTTCACTTATAAATATCACGTATACGCACCTCCTCGAACACCCAGCCGGACTCTTCGAAAGTATCGCGCACTTGCGACTCGTTCAGCCAGTAGAGGCCGACGGAAAAGTTCAAATTATCGGCCATGAACTGCAGCAGTTCGCCCTCGATGCCCAGGAAGGTGCCATCATCGCGTCTCACCAAGTACGGCATGTCCGGCCACGTGGCGCAGGTCAAAGTGCAGCCATAGAAGTTGTCCAGTTTGGCTGGGAAATATTCGTCGAGCTCCCAGGCACCCAGCTTGCCGTCAAATCGATTCACAACACTGGCACGGACACGCTGACAGCCGTGATTCGCACTGTACGGAAAATAGCTGAGCAGCAGCAGGTCCTGTCCGTCGAAGACCAGCAGGCCAGCTTTCAGCACGCTGCGGCTCCACAGCAGCTTCATGACCAGCTCCGGCTGCGGATCCAGCATATAGATGAGCGTATAGGACAAATCGCTCGTTGCGCCCAACTTTTCGTAGAGTCGCTCCAGTGCACGCAGATCCTCCACCAGCAACAGCACAGCATGCCTATACGGCCTGTACGACAGGACCCTCTGCTGGAACAGGCAGCGCGGTTGCGGCGCTGCGGCTGGCAATGCCATCAACACGCCACCCAGCAGCTCCAGCAGCGGCGACCGAGCCGTCAGCGAGCTGTACTTCAAGTGAACGTAAAGCGTCTGGCTGTGCGACATCTCCGACTGTTGCAGCACCTGGGCCAGTGCCAGCGACAGCGACTCCAACCTTGAGGTTGTCTCCATCTCCATCACCAGCGTCGCGTGACATTGCGGCAGCGGCAGCAGCAACGCCAAACTGAGCTGAAGACAAACAGTTAGCCGCATTTCTCGGCTTGTGAGCTGCAACTGACATCCAATGGGTTGGCCTTGTTCTTGTTCCTGTTCTTGTTCTTGATTCGCCGACTCCAGGGAAATATATTTAATGGACAGCTAATAGGCACAGGGAATGTTTAATAATTCGAAATGTTACCCCTTGCCTCATGATTAGCATTTATCTGATTGTCACAATTACTCAATAAGGCAAGCCGTTAAGAAATTGTCTAATTTAATTGCAATCGATAAGTGTTTATCGACGATCCACGCACTATCGAGTTAACTACTAAAAAATACCAAAAGAGAAGAGCGATGAATACGCTGAGTAAACAATGCCTGGCAGATAAAAAATAAATGAAGAATAAACTGAGATTAATTATAAATACTTAATTATTTGTATTTATAAGTCATCTCAGTTTATTCTTATCATTATCAGATACATCATCATCAAGGAAATTCAACAACGGTAACAGAAATGAAGCCTGAGCCATTAAAAAAAATACCAAACATAATTGGGGAAATTTAGATTTGAGCAAAGAGAACCAGTAGATCAAAATAGCATAACATAAGAAGAAACCTTTAACAATTCTAAATAAAGATTATAAATGCAGAATATACATATAAAGCCACAGGCATTGCGACATAGTCGAAGAAAGCCCATTAATGCATTAAATCGATTTCAACTCAGTAATTGAGTAATTGAGCCAATCAGATGAGAATACGCCTCAAGGGTTTGGTAAATATACACACACACATACATACATACATACATAGATTTGTATGGATTGCTACGCTGACACATGTTTATTAAATCAGCATTAAATGGATTCCCCATGAGTCAGCCGGGGCACAGGCAATTGCCCGTAGTGGAAAAAGCAAAGCTAACTGCTGAGTAGGCGCCCACTGTTGCTGTCTCTCTCTCTCTCTCTCTCTCGCCCTGGCTGGCTCTATGTGCAATGATTAACGGTGCTCTCGCAACGCCTATCGGCAATTAAAACTCAAAGCTTTTCATTTTCTACATTTTTGTAAAGTGCTTCATTTAATTGGGTGTACATACATAATTCAAATAACTTTTAGCTAATCATCAACATTATCAGTATCGTTATCATCATCATTATCGTTATCGTTATCGTTAGCGACATCGTCATCGTCATCCTCGAAATGAAAGTAGTCCACCTCGTCATCAAGGTCGTCCTTCTTGGCGATGCGTCGATTTGACTTGTTCTTCTCCGTGGTCGTTCGCATCGCATTGTCCGGCTCCGGGTCCTCCGACTCCTGCTCCTCCTGCGTCTCGTCAAAGAGGCCACGTTCGGCGGCGCCAAGCTCATAGACAGGCTCATCCTTTCCCCTCGCCCTGCTGCTGGACAAACGCACCAAAAGCGGCGGCTTGACAACCACACGCGTTTGATTCGTATGATGATTAAGCATGCCCTGATAGAGATGGGGAAACCGGCGCTGAAACTCCGCCTTAATGCGCAACAGGCGCTCCAGCATGCCGGGCGTGAGCAGCTGCTGCGTGCGCGCCATGATGTGCGTATCTCGTCGTGGTCTCAGATACGCCTCATAGCTGCCGCCGCCGCTGTATAGAGGATAGTGTGGATCGTACGGCTTCTGGTTCCAGGGATCGTTTGGCTGGGCCACGGGCAGCAGACCCATATACGGACGGAGCAGGCCCTCTTTGAAGCCAATTGTGGAGCCAACAGTTTCGTTAACATTCGATGTGGATGTTGATGCTGATGTGGATGCTGATGCTGATGTGGATGTTGATGTTGATGTTGATGTGGATGCTGTTGATGGACTGTTTGATGCAAATGAAAGTGAACGAAATGAAATTAAGCTAAATTAGTGAATGGTAATGTTAATGTTAAAGTTAACGTTAATGTTAATGTTAATGTTAATGTTAATGTTTATGTTATTGATACACATTTGCATTGTGCTCAATTAGCGGATGATGATGATGATGATGTGTAGCTGCTGCTGCTGCTGCTGCTGCTGTTGCTTGGGCGCTGCTTGCGTCGGCGGCGCAAACGCTTTGAGTATTTGGTGGGGCGACGGGTGGAGCTGGTTGGGTTGGTGGGGTTGCTGTTTGGGACTCGATTGCTGCCGGCCATCTGGGCAAACGCCTTTTCACGCTGGAGCTGCAAACGAAGGAGTTCGTTTAGCACATCGATCAGCTGATCGAGCTTCGTACTGCGCTCGCGCAACAGCGATAGCTCCTTGGTCGCCCTGCCGCTGGCCTTCGTTACCTTCGCTTGGCGCGTCGTACGCAATCCCAGCCGTGTGCTGCGCCTGCGCACAAATTTACCGCGCAGCGCATAGGGATGGGGCGTGGTCGTGTCAGCCCCCTCATTTGAGTCAGCCTCCGTTTCGGTATCCTTGATGGCATTGGCATGCAGCGCCGCATTCAACAGCTGTGCCTGATGCAGCGCCCCAGCCGAGGGCTCCGTGGTGCTGCTGGAGCCTGTGGCACGCTTCGATTTGTTATCCGGATCGTAGGGCTGCAGCTCTTGGTAGCTGTAGTCGCCAGAGCCATTGCAGTCGGGCTTCGATAGATCCAGGTGCTCGCCCTGGGCATATTGCTGCTCGTGCGTCTTGGACAAATAGTTGGTATCGTAGCCTTTGCTGGCCAGCAGACGTTCCCAGTGCTCGGCATTTGGCGGCTTCTCTGTGGTGGTGGTGCTGGTGGTGGTTGTGGTGCTAGTCGTGCTGCTGGTGCTGCTGCTCGTGCTGGTTGCCTCCACTTGCCGGCAATCCCGTAACCGTTGCTCCGCTTTGGTCAGCTGCTCCTTGAGGCTTTCGATCAGGCCGTAGAGCTTCTTGAATTCGATTCGTGTCGCCGCCAGCTCTGCGCGCATTTGCGAGCGCTCGCTGCTCGCCTCATCCATCTGCGCCTTCTCAGTTACATTTTGCCCTGTGGGCGTGGCAGCTGTCGTTGACTCCGTGACGTATTCCTCCGGCGGACTGGCGACCGCCTCACCGGCTGCCAGCTGTTCGCTGCTTATCTCCAGCGGCTCCTGGCTGGCACGTTCCAGCGCCTCGCGCACTGAGGCCGCATTGTAGCGCATCAGCGCCTCCGCCGGATCCTCATCCGGGCTCAGTGTGATCTCCTTCAGGCCCAGCTTGTACTCCTTGCGCAGAGCATTCAGCGAACTCTCATCGATGGTCTCCAGCGTGCCATATTCGGCGTTACGCCGGCTCCTGCTGCGCTGTGCTCTGGCACAGGAGCAGCCGCCAGGACTGGCTCGGCTGGCGCAACGACAGCTGCTGCCGCAGGCGCAGTGAGCGCTGCCGCAGCCGCAGCCGCCGGCACGCAAAGCTGGCGAGGAATTGCTTAAACTATTTGCTAACCTTTTCTGTATGCGATGATCGCCGTTCGGCAGGGATGGGGGCGTGCCCGAGCTAGTGTCGTTGTTGTGGTTGTGGTTGTAGTTGTTGTTGTTGTTGTTGTTGCTGTTGCTGTTGCTGTTCGTGGTGGTAATAGTGGTGATCATCTGCTCATCCTGCCGCTCCTTCTGCTCGTTGGGTTTTATTGCCTGAAATGCGTCGCCTGTTAATGACAATGAGGAACAGCGGGCGTGGAAGAAGATGGAGAAATGTGAATGATATGAAGCCAACTACATGGGTGTCGGTGTGTGTGTGTGTTAATGTATGTGGGCGTATGCTGTGCGTATGTGTGTGAGTGTGCGTGGCTTAGCTTAAAACTAATTGAACTCTGTCTATATATAGTTACGGGGTTTGATTCCGGAATTCCCTAGCTATACACATGACCTAGTGACTTTAAGGCTTTTCCAGTGACAGCTCCTTCCTAGATTTCAACTTCTCGCACCCTGGCAAAGACTGGAACTTCTCTCAGTGAAATTCCTGAGCTGCATTTCTAATCATAGCTGTAAAATTTCCTAAGCGAAGGCTTCAACAATTTCGAAATTTCCTGTGCGGAACTCTTCCAGCTCATAGGTCAAAGCTATAAAAACCAAGTACTCAGAAGCTAAGGGACTTCTCTCATATGGCTATGGGATCTCATCAAGCTGGTTCAAGGGTCTCTCTTTCTGTCCTGGATTTCATTTAATGTTTTCCTCATTAGCTTGAGGAGGGAGTTAGGTTGAGCTTAAGGCTCCCATAACTGAGCCGTAGTTTTCCGATAGTCCCTTTTAGCAATTGCCTTGTCTGGGGTTAAACTTACCATCATGGTGTTATGCTGGCGCAGCATGGAGTCGATCTCGTCGTTACCCACAGCCGCCCGATACCCACCATACGCATTGGTGCCGTAGCCACCACCGCCGTAGCCGCTACCGCCGTAGCTGCCACCGCCGTAGCTGGTGCCGTAGCTGGGTCTATGCACATGTCCGTAACTTGGACCGTAGGCCGGTGCGTAGCTAGCCGGCGGCGTATTGTGGTAGTAGTTGATGATGGTGGGCGCCGACTTGGACTTGGATTTCTTGCGGTGATCCCCACCCAGGCCAAGTATATCCACTGTTTGTGGCGAGAGGTTAAGATCGGTACTGCGGAATACGCCAAAGAGATTACCTTTGTGTCGTGCCTGGCCGGCGTTTTCGGGCATTTGCGGTTTCGCCTCTCCCAGCATTCCATCGGCATCGATTTGCGGCTGTTGCTGCTGCATTTGCTGCTGATCCATCTGCTGCTGCTGCTGCTGATCCATCTGCTGCTGTTGCTGCTGCATAGCCAGCATCTTCTCAGCCGCCCACTGCCGCTCGGCTGCCTGATTCATGCTCTTCTCGGAGGTATGCTTTTCCTGTGCCTTGACCTGTTCCTCGGTCCACTGACGCTGCTGCATATCTTGCTGTGCCTTGGCTTGACCCTCGGCCCATTGACGCTGTTGCTCCTGTTGCTGCTGCTGTTGCTCCTGCTGCTGCGCCTTGGCCTGATCCTCGGTGGATTGCCGCATCATCTGTTGCTGCGCAATCATGGGTGTCTGGAGCGCTGAGTCCTGTTCCCTTTGCGCCTTGGCCTGATCCTCCGACCACGCACGCTGCTGCATATCCTGCTGCGCCTTTGCCTGCTGTTCCATCCATTGGCGCTGCTGCTGCTGCTCCTGGGTCTGGGCCTCTGTCCACTGTCGCATCATCATGTGTCCCTGCGGCTGCATCGTCATGGGCATTTGGAATTGCTCAGGGGCTTTCTGCGCTACCATAAACTGACGCATCATTGGGGCATTCTGTTGCTGCATGACCATGGGCGTCTGCTGCTGTGTGTTTTGTGCTTTAGCCTGTTCGTCCACCCATTGGCGCATCTGCTGCTGTGCCTCCTGCTCCTTAGCCTGTTGCGCCTTTGCTTGATCCTCGCTCCATTGACGCATCTGTTGCTGCTGCTGCTGTGCCTTGGCCTGCTCCTCCGACCACTGTCGCATCATTTGGGCGTTCTCTTGCTGTGGCATGGTCTGCTCCTGCATCCATTGGCGCTGCTGCTCTTTAGCCTTGGCCTCGGCCTCCGCCCACTGACGCATCATCATGGGATTCTGTTGCTGCATCTGCTGCAGCATCTGCTGCGACTGCTGCTGCTCTTTGGCCTTGGCCTCGCCTTCCGCCCACTGGCGCATCATCATGGGATTCTGTTGCTGCATCTGCTGCGACTGCTGCTGCTCTTTAGCCTTGGCCTCGCCTTCCGCCCACTGGCGCATCATCATGGGATTCTGCTGCTGCATCTGCTGCAGCATCTGCTGCGACTGCTGCTGCTCCTTGGCCTTCCGTTCGGCATTCTCAGCGGCCATGCGGTAGGCGTAGGCCATTACCTTGACGATGTCCTCCTTGGACAGGCTCTGCGGTTGCTGTCCAGTCATAATCTGGCGCTTGGTATAGGTTCTGCGCTGCATCTCTCTGCTCAGCAGGCGGCGCACATAGTCGTCGCGTAGGGCACGCTCAATGTCAGCTCGGGTGATCTTGTGGACTGGCGTGCGGCTCAGGGGGTAGCGCAGCTTGTAGGAAGCGCCGTTCCTTGCCGTCTCTCCTTGGGCGTGGGCGCGCATCTCGCGAGCCAGTCGCTCAATCTGCTGCAGCTGCTGCAGCTCCTCGATTACCTGGCGCTCGAAGGCCTCCAGCTTGGACTCGATTTGAGCACGATCCGTGGTCTTGCCATCGCCCTGCTCCTCCTCGTTCTCCTGCTTGCTGGGCATACGGAACCAGAGCAACGGCACTTGCTGCTTCTCCTGCTCCATCTGGAGCGCTGACTTGATCTTCAGCTGAGCCAGCTGCGCCTGCGTCTGTTGTGGGGCCCGATAGTTGATGCTGCCGTGGTGTTCCGGCTTGACACGCACCTCCGATATGTCCGAGGCCTGGGCACTGCTGCCCGGCAAGAACTGACGTAGTCCGGCCATGAACGAGTCCGGGGTCGGGGCTCCGGGTATACCGCTCAAGGCGCTGCCCAACAGGTTGTTGCTGCCATCGAAGAACGATCCGAATCCCGGTGGTGGAGCCTGGCCAAGTGTCGGGCCAGCAGGTGCCGGCGCCGGTGCTGCCGGCTCATCCGCGGGCTTGGCTGCGGGTGGAGCTGGTGTGGTCGTGGTCGCAGCGGATGCCTGGCCGAGCAGGCCGTCGAGTGTTGGCAGTCCAAAGCTCTGCATAACGGGCGCCATCTGGCCTAGATTGAAGGCATCCGGCATTGGCGGCATTGGCGGCATCTGGCCGAGATTGAAGTTGTCCGGCAGTGGGGGCATTTGGCCCAGGCTGAAGCCATCCGGCAGCCAGCCGGCGGGTGGTCGGGGCATCATTTGAGCAAGATTCGGCGGGACCATCTGGGCAAGATTCGGCGGTGGCATCTGGCCAAGCATCTGCTGCATTTGCTGCAACATAGCAGCGCCATTCAGCGCTCCTGGCGGAGCTGGGGCAGGTGGTGCAGGAGCAGCAGGAGCTGCATCCTGACGCGTTACACGTGACTTGTGACCATTCGCATCATCGGCTAGGACCAGCACCACCTTGGAGGGAGATGCCTGCAGATTGTCCGGCACGGCGCCGAGCAAAGTCTGCGCCGGAAAGAGGCTGCCCCAACGCAAGAGGCTGCTTAAAGCTGGGAACATGAAATAGAAGGCATCCACTGAGGGAATGCCACTGCGAGGTAGCGTAACGGGTGGCATCTGAGCGAGAAGCTAAAAGTGGGTGGAATGATGACAGAGAGAGAGAGAGAGAGAGGAAATGATGGTAGGACAGGAATACAAAAGAAAGAGGACGAGAGAGAGCGGGTCAGGCACGAAAACATAAAAAGAAGAAAAGGAGAAAGGATTAGAAAATTGAACTGGACGAAAATTAGCTAAAATCTTAATTATAACTAACAAATCGCAAACTTCCTATAACTAAGTATTAAACTGATTGTTCCTATAGAAATTTAATGATAAAGTGTCTAGACATAAAGAGAAAAACGTATTTGCTTACGTATGTATTCGATCTATTGAGATTGTCTAGTCTTTCTAGTCCTTTTCTCGACTTATCGATAGGTCAAGTATCGCCCTTCTGCATCCTGGTATTTGGGTTTACTAACCTGATCTTGGCTGGGTATCTGCAGCTTGGCCGGCGCAGTGGTGGCATTTGTCGCATCACCCTTAGTATCGCCCTGGGTCAAGCTATCGACGGCAGCAGCTGCCTCGGGGCCGCTGACAACGGTGGCACCCGGCTGCGCATCCTGGGCGCTGCACAATGCGCCGCCTAGCAGCAGCAGCGTTAAACACAACAAACGCATCCTTAAGACGTATATCCTATTTTCTATTTGTATATAGCCCGCACTTCGCACTCGCCACTGTCACTTTCACTTATTCCAGAGCACTTTCGCTTGAGCGTCGAACGGCAACTGACGTTCCAAACGCTCCAACGCTGGCCCATATAGAATACCTGGTCGTCGTCGGCGGCGGCGGCGGCGCAGCAGCAGCAGACCAAAATTGTCGACGTCGCCGAATCGTGCTGAAGAGCTGCGCTGCTTTTTGCACGCATCGCGAGGTGGCAGGCCACGCCCCCCCGGCTTTGACACCAAAAAATATTTGCCATTGCATTTCGATTTCGTTTCCGTGTGCCACAAAAAGACAACTAACAAGAATAGAGTCTTCAAATGGAAAGTGAACAACGTTAAGATACCCTGTAAACAAATGCGAATGTTATGGGGAGTTACGTATACAAATGTAGGTCAAGAGCAAAGGAGGAAAGTACTTATAATTAATAAATACTAAACTACAAGAGATATCAATTTCATTATATCAATTCGAAATACAGATATTAAAAAATCCACATACCGAATAGACGCTAAACATATATGAGTTAAATATACGATATTCCGATATTCAATAGATTCCGATGACATATCGATAACAAATCGATGTAAGATATTCCGATATTAAATAGATTCCGATGGCATATCGATATAAAATCGATGAAAGATATTCCGATATTAAATAGATTCCGATGACATATCGATATAGTCGATGAAAGATATTCAGATATTAAATAGATTCCGATAACATATCGATAACAAATCGATGTAAGATATTCCGATATGAAATAAATGCTGATTACATATCGATAGAAAATGGATGTACGCTATTCCGATATAAAATAGATTCCGATAACATATCGATAACAAATCGATGTAAAATATTCCGATATGAAATAGATACTGATTACATATCGATAGAAAATCGATGTACGATATTCCGATATAAAATATATTCCGATGACATATCGATAACAAATCGATGTGTGTTAAGAAAAAGAAAAGAAAATCATACAATATTGACTTTAAAAAGTAAAGTTTATTAAGAACCCATCGATAGAGCTAAAAATTAATCATTGTACAGGGTAATCAAAGACTGCAGCTGCGACTTTTGCAGCAGCCGGCGCAGCACAATAAATAAATATAACCAAAAACAAAAACAGACAGAATACAAAAAAAAAATTAAAAAATACATGTATGAAGAAAAACCTTGGCTTAACAATTTGCTGATGAGCAATTTTTCGTGGAATCAGCGCAAATTCTGATGCACTGAAAACAAATGCAGAGCTCCAAAAGGTTTCCAATTAGTGTCTTATCTGGAATTTTGAAATTATTTTGTCTACGATTTGCGTCAATCCGGAAGCTGTGCGAGACATTTCTTTACCGGTTTTATCTCGCGTTTTATGACCGTTGAGAAAAGTGTGACCCAGCATACTAATTTTTTTACTCAACACTCACCGGTACGTGCTGATATCAAATATAGTAGAGAGATGACAGCATGAAGCATGCAAATTACACTGAAAAATCTAACTCCGATCTCATTCCATATATAAAGCTTGTTATCTTTTGACGACTAAGCTATATATAAGTCAAAATTTAATATATAATCAAAGTGTTTTGAAAGTCTACCTGGCAATGGACATAGATAAAATTGGAATTCCATATGTTATGTCAATGTTAAAAATATTATTCTGCAGACTATTCAAAGTGAAATATATAGTTTTAATACAAGCCATGCGCATATATCACAAAATATATTTCTATTCCTTCTGCATTATTGCGCTTGCTGCTTTGGTCCATCTCTCATTAAGAGCGTAACCGTTTTTGGTGCTTTAGGAGTTGGCCAGAAAATTCTCACAGCGTAGACTGCCTTATCGTGAATGTGTGTCACCGAGCTAAAAAGCGAACAAAGTGCATCAATGCTGAGCTAAGCGCTGCAATGGACTTTTAACTCCATCGTCGTCTGTTGTAGTACAAAATAAGAATAAAATTTGTGTATGAACCAGTATTTATTTTGTTTTTATTCTTCAGTTGCGGGCGTCTGCTTAGATCAGCACGAAACTGCTGCAATATTACAGTTGTATTGGAAACGAGTTCATAAAATACGGTCAGCGATCTGTAAAGTGTGTTGCGACATGAACAATTGTTGCATCGCTGCAGTTTTTTTGTTAATTAGTCATTGCAAGACAAAACAAAACCAGGTAAACAAAACTAAATGAGAAATAAGAAAAGACAAATGCCAAAAAAAATGCCTATTAGCATTTTCAAGAGTGGTCACTCTTATGAATTTAGTCCACAAATTGAGAACACGTGCTGGTCACACTGACAAGAACAGTTCGAAGCGGAATCAACTTAATGTGCAATATATTATTTAACTAATTTTATTTTGCACATTTACATTTTATATTTGCCAGCTATTTGAATATCGAAAGGCTGCATATTAAAACGAAGCCATATTATGGTCACCCAGGCAATGAAATTTGGTAAAAAACAGCCAATAAGTCTATTGGTCACACTGCCACCCAATTCAAAGCTAACGATCCGTTTTGAGAAAAAAGAAGCAAAAGCCTATGAGCTTGAGAACATAACGAAACGCAATAAGCAAAACAAAAACGAAAATCTCCGCCAAATAACGGATCTTTTTCTTGCAGTTTTCTTTTGTCCGATTTGGCGTTGAAGCTCAAAATCGGACTTGTTGTTAGTTTTTTAAAATAAAAAAAATGTTGTCATTTGAAATTAAAAAATTTTTTTTTTGTTTTAGGGGGCTAATACATAATAGATTTGAGAAAAAATGTGAAAACGGTAAAAAGTTAACTTACTGCTAAAGAAAATACTTATTGAAATAAATAAATAGTCTTGTCCGATTTGGCGTTGGAACCACTGTAAATCGCAATTTGTAAATAATTTATAAACTAAGTATATATAATGTTGTTGTTATTGTTTTTTTCAGATGTCGCATGTGACTGCAATTTGGCCAACGACTTTTTAACTGATGGCACATCCATTTAAATACAATTGGGCAGATAATGTGCCGCGATAAGGTGCGCATGCAACGACTAAAAGCATCGGCAATGGACGTTGGCCATTGGCTATCGTGGACAGTTAACTGAGGACACTTGGCTGGCTCATTTGCGGTTCAGCATGTTGTCGAGCGAGTCGGTGCAATCGATTCATAACATAACGCTAATATACGCAGTGGTGTGGACGATTAACAGCCACTATGCCAGCGACTCCAGCAAGCCGCTCTCGATCATGAATTTCGCCAGGCGGGAATCGAGCCGTGACCTGCACAATGATCTCACTGATGCTGTGCTGCGTCTGGCCTCAGCTGCCGGGCGCATTAAGTTTTTGCTGCAGAACGAGGGCATCGTTACCGACGAGTCGCTGGCCGAAGACGCACCGCAGGCGCCACCAAGTGGAGTTCTGGGCAGGGACACGGGACTGTTTCTGCTCGATAGCTGGGCCACCTATTTACGACTGGAGCGGCATCTGATGCAGCCGGGCAGCTTCTACAAGCGCAATGGCTACTATTGCATCGTGTATACGGGCGAGGAGACCGGGCGCCTTAGCGTCATTTACAAAATCTTTCAGCGCCTCCTTGCCATCTACGTGATCAACGTGAATGTGCTGCTGGCCAATCGGCAGAATGGCACCATCCAGGTGTACAACTACTATCCATACCGTCCGCATCGCTGTCAGTCATCGGAGCCCGTGCACTATGCCACCTTCCAGGGCAGCCTGGGTGCTCCGCCGATCTTTCATTTGGAGAACAGCGTTCGTTTCTTTGACAGCAAAGTGGATGACATGCATGGCTGCAAGCTGGTCACCGTCACATTTCAGCACCGTCCATTTGTCATCATCGATGACAGCAGCAATCTGACTGATGTGCAGCGTCTGTTGGGTATCGAGGGCAGGATTTACCAATTGCTGGCCGAGCGCATGAACTTTGCAGTTACATTGGTGAAGGAGCCCAATGGGGATCGTGGCATTGTCCATCCTAATGGCACATTAACAGGCGCTATGAAGATGGTGAGTCAAAGGTCTCGAAGGCAATCGATAACATTCATCGCCGATATCGATTTGATTACACATATATAAAAAGCTTGCAGTTTGTATCGATAAACGATGAACAGAATATGTGACAATAGTCTGAAATTGATTTTGATAGAAATCGATAAATCGATAGGCCTTAAACTCTTTAAAAAACGACTATGATCGAAATTTAAAGAACAATTCCGATAACTATCGATCGTGACTTTTACTTATAGCTGCCACACACGATAGGAAATCGATCTGCCTCCCTAAACCAAATGATTTCAATCAAAATCGATAAAACGATAGACGATAACTATTAACTCTCCACAATTGCAGATCGTTGATGGCTTGGCGAACATTACCTTCGTCTCATACATGTACAACAAGGAGCGCGCCATGTATATGCTGCCGAGCATCTCGTACACCAGCTTTCCCATTGTACTGTGTGTGCCTGGAGGCCGTCCACTGACGCCGCTGGAGAGGCTGACCAAACCGCTCGGGTACATCACGTGGATTTGCCTGTTGACCAGCATACTGACCGGCCTGACGCTGATTACAATGCTTCAGTTGTTGAGTGTGCCGCGATTGCGTCGCTTTGTGCTCGGCGAGAGCAATCGACGGCCTGCCACGGAGCTGTGGAGCACTCTGTTTGGTGGCATTCACATGCATCCGCCACGTCGGAACTTCGCCCGTTTCCTGCTAGCCATGTGGCTGCTCGAGACGCTGGTGCTGCGTGCCGCTTACACGGGCGAGATGTACATATTGCTACAGGATGCACGGGTGCGTGCACCGCTGCGCACGCTGGCTGAGGTGCTGGACAAGAAGTTCGAGTTCCATATGCTGCCTGCACTGAAGCCAGTGTTCCGAGAGCTGGTCAGTCAGGAGCGAGTTGTGCTCATTCCCCGGCTGGAGGAATCGCTCGTGCAGCTACGCGACAATGCCGAGGCGCAATTTGTGGTGCCATTGCTGAGACCAACCGCATCCCGATTCGATATGGACTCCGGACCCGAGAAGCCGCGTCTCACCGTGCTTCGTAATCCCATGCTAACTGCCCCGATGACCCTTTACATGCGTCCGCACTCGTATCTAAAGCAACGCATCAATAAGCTGCTGATCAATATGATGTCCTCGGGCCTGGTGGACCGCTTTCGTCGCATGTATCTGGACAGGATCGAGCACATAGTCAATCTGCGCAACCGTGAGCCCACCAAACTCAGCCTCTGGCAGCTGGGCGGCCTCTTTGCCAGCTTTGGATTGATGCACCTGTTGGCCAGTATCGTCTTTCTGCTCGAACTGCACGCCGCTCAGCCGCACCGACCGCGTTTGCGCCGACTCATGAATGCAGCCAACCGCTATATGGTCTAAAGCGGCAGCCACTAAAAGAAATCGAAAAGTTTTCCCCTCATTTGCTTTGTATTTTATCTAGACATTAATTGAATTGCAATGTAATCACTCAACTGCAATGAACTTATCTACATGTTAACTTAACGGTATTGTGTCTTAACTAAAATGTAACGTATACCAATTGTAACTTATCTACAGAAGACTTATCTAACTATCTTTTAATTTGTGTGCATTGTAATTATCTGAATTATAACTTATCCAGTCAGCAACTTAACATGAGCTTCATATGACGTAACTACATTGTAACTCATTGTAGATGTAACTTACACACATGATAGATTAACTCTCCTTAAGCATATCTATATTGTAACTTATCTACATATCTACAATATAACGTACATTAACTCTCCTTAAGCATATCTATATTGTAACCTATCTACAATTTGCCGTATCTATATCTTAGCTTAACTACATTGCATACAACTTCTCTACAGTTTAAAATATCTAAATTGTGACTTATTTATGATTGTGATTTATCTAGATAGTGCATTAACGTGCAATGCATCTATATTCTCACAGTTCAATCTTATCAATACTTTATATAGGCCATCTACATTGCAACTTAGAGGACATTGCAGCTTAACTGTAATGCATCTTCAAACATATTGATACTTAGCTAAAAATAGTTGATCAATTAGATACAGTTACTTTGCTGCTTATTATTATATTATATTATATTTGTATTTACATATATCTGGTTGTCTAAAAATGTAAATGTATTTCTGATCAACCAATCGTCTTTAAGCGTGATTTATCTGCTTAGAATTGATCTAAAATATATGTAGACTATATTCAGTTACCATGTAAAAATTGATTGAATCAAAACCCTATATCATATTATATATGATATCTGCTGTATGGAATCCGTTATCATCTAGCAAAGGAGTTTCCTAGATAAACAGTAGCAGATCAAACAGTTAGGTATTTAATAATTTGCATTAACTTTCAAGCTTTACAAACTAATCCATTGTTATACATTCACTTAGATCATATTCCCTATGGCAATGATTCCATCTAGTCGAATGCCCTCACAGCCGCCCCAAAATCCTAGATAGCCAGCGCATGCGTTCATGTCCACTGACTAGCTCGAGAACAAAGATGGCCAGCGCCAGAGAGTGGGCAAACAGGAGGCAATTGAGGGCGGCATAGATGAAACGCATGCACTCATTGACCTGAGCCACGTAGTTGGTGCAGTGCTTCAGTGGATTCAGTCGAGCGCTCATGGAGGTGGCCAGATGCGACGACTTGAGCCGATTGACAATGTGCGGTCCAATGCCGGTGCTGCGCATGAGGAACAGCATGTGATTGAAGTTGGAGGTCAAGTATGAGCCCATTGGGAAGTGCACGCAGATCATGTTGTCCACGATCTTGTTGCTGGCCAGAACGAGTCTGTGCTGCTTCGCTCGCTGCCTGCCCAGATAGTCGGCCACAAAGCTGGCCGTGCTGATGGTGGCGACTCGTTGCCATTCCGGCTGGGCCTGCAGCTGCTCGAGCATGTCCACTGGCTGGCCGGGCAGGATGCGCGTGCGTGCCCTTAGCGCAGGCAGCGACGCGGTCATGCGGTACGTGGCATGATCCGTAATGAAGTGGTAATCCTGCAGGAGCGCCTGCTCCAGGCTGTCCGGCAAAGGGCGAGTCGGTGCATTGTACAGGAACATAAAGACGGAGCTCTCGTAGCACATGCGCAGCATGAAGACCGAGAGAATCCAGGCCAGATCGAGGAGCGCAACGTCACGCCAGCCGCCCACATAGCACAGCAGACGCAGTGCAGCCAGCGCAAGCACCAGCAGCCAGACGTGCGAGTCAAACGGTAACAGCATGATCTCGTAGACGCTGTACGGGCGAGCCGTGCGCAGCACCAGCACGTACTCCACCTGGCTGTAGGGCAGCGTGCTGGACAGATGCTTGTAGCGAGCCGGCATGCAGGCGGCAAATCCGAGCGTCATATTCGCCCGCCTCTGCTGGAGCATGCGGAAGGCGCCGGTCATGGTGCCGTTCATGTAGCTGACGCCGCCAATCAAATCCGCCGGCTCATTGGACACCAGGGCCAGGCTGAAGTTCAGCCTGCTCGCCAGCAGCTTCAGTATGTCGGCATCGATGCCAGAGATTCGGTCGCTGGGCCGCGTCTGCTTCATATGCAGCCGCATGTACGGCCGTATCTGCCAGACGACCACGTGCAGGGGACAGCCGTGCAGATCCCGCAGCTTCGGCGGATAGATCTGGTAGAGGCGCGCCTGCTGCAGCGGCACAGGCACCGCCTGCGTATCCTCACAGCCGCGAGCACCAGAGTACGGATAGTAGGTGTAGCTGCTGACTCTGCCCGTCCGCAGCTCGGCCAGCAGGAGGAGCACGTGCACGTTGTAGCGCTGGTGCAGCAAATACGCGAAGATCTGGCTCATCTGCGCCAGCTGCCAGGAGGCGTCATCTCGCCCGGCTATCATCACGATTAGGTATTTGAATTTGTGGGTCATGTTCATGCGCGGATTGCGATTGCTGGCCTCGATCAACTGTCTGGCATCCTGCACAAAGAACATCAGCATTTGGGTGCGCAGACCCAGTGACTCCTCTAGCCGCTCGCCCAGCACACGCGGCACCATGGCTCCGAGGCAGTGCGTCAGCACCTGCTCCACCATGCGCTGCTCCCTCCGTGGCAATTGATTCTTATAGCTGGCGCTGATGAAGACGCTCATGTCGTGGGCCTCACAGGTCTGTCCAAATATCAATTGCATTACTGTAATCAAATTCTTCGCCAATTCTCCATCCGCCGGATCTTGTCCGGGCAGGCAGCCAAAGCTAAGCCCAAGCAGCAGCAGCAGCAGCAAATGCACAGCGTTCAGTTCCATTTCCAAGGAATAACTGAAATGGGATCCGTTTTGAACAATCCATATATATTGATTGCATATCGACTGTGATTGCAGTCCCAACACCCCAGAGACTGTGCAATGTCCGAGCTGTCCGTCCGTCTGTCCGCAGGAATGAAAACCATTTCGACGCTATCGAAGCTATAAATTTGAAATTGGAATTATACATATATTCGAGGGTATACCTCGAATTATAAAGTGTCAAGATTTTTCTGATACGCCCACTAAGGGCGTGGCATACCGAAAATGCATTTTCCAGCAAATCTTAGTTGATAATTTGGATAATATATAGCCTGAGATCAGAATGAATTGGCGGATATATCTATGCCTAGCGATGGCTAAAGAATAATTATTACGCCTCTTTGAAGGCGTGGCGCATGCAAAAAAAAAAAACCTTGTAATAATCCTTCTAAGAACTAGCAACTAGAAAAATTATATATCTACGCCCCCTGGGGGTGTGGCAAATCGATGACCATTTGCAGCACCCACATGAAAAATTCATAAACAAAGCAACAAAGTATCACGCAGTCGGTTACGCCCGACTGCGACGCTCTTAGTTGTTTGTCTGTATATTTCTCAATTCGATTACTATAATAATACACTAAAGTTTGTTCCAGTGGCAAAAATACTTGTTCTCCCTTGACAACAGCTGACACAAATCTCATTTAAAACGTGTAATGCATTAGAAAATCAGTGCAAATTACATAAACCACTTTCCACTGGCTACACAGTCCGACCTAGCTACATACCTCATTCCCAGGGCAGGCTGAGTATTTCGAACTGAATCGGCATGTTTTTCAACAAATATGTATATATTTAGGATCCAGGTAGGTGGCGAAAAATTTTCTTGCTGACATCGCTGTGAGCATTTTCTCATACTGCCTCAGTCTGTAATTAGGAAAGGTTTTCCTTCCTTTTTTTTATTCATTTATAAATTTTTATTTTTTTATTCGCTGGGTATTTCAATAACCTAGACCAAAATTTAATAGTAGATTTGCTAATGGTTGTGGTTAACCAACGAAGGAGCTGGTTGAAAGAAAGAAATCTGCCGGATCGCTGCTTGATCGCTGGATCTTCTCCATCTTATTGAAGCTGTCAATTGCTGTCAGTCGTTCATTGGGTCTGAGAATAGACGCAGTAAGTACTTCCCATTCCGCACATAGTGCAGATTTTGTTGTACCCTGAACCCATTGAAAATAGGTAGTCAGGGTACATGCAGAAGGAGGCTTGCCAGACCCAATATAGACTTGATAAGTTATAGCTCTGTTCCTGTCTGTGAGTTCGTCGATCTCTGATCCTATTAAAGCGAGGGACTTGAAATGTTTGTTGTAGGTCCCTATATAGCATACGTTCAATGAAATGTTTTCGTGATTGTTAGTAGGCTGGAAAATTACGTTTTCTAATGAAATCAAATCTGAAATTTCCTCATACAGACTCTGTCTGTTCTAGAGAAAAGTTCTCTCATATATATTTTTTTATTTTATTTTTGCAGGGCATTTCCATATTGTAATCGGAAGCCCACAACTTAATATTGATTCATGACAACTAAGGGTTCGCGATATATTCCAATAAACCTAGTGCCTGGTTCCACTCTTGCCTTAAGAGCTACATCAACGGAAGAAATGCTAAGGACTTAAGCTGTGTGCATTGATTGTTTGCTTTCTGGATATTCGTTAATTTTTCAACACTAAACTCAATTGGTTAAGAATCGACATAGACCAATACCAAGTCGCTAAATCAAGTTTGGTTATCGTAAGTACTCATTTCATTTCGTATTCAGTACGCTAAGTAACTTGAGTCCGTAGATTTTCACTACATTTTCTGTGAGATTATCAAATTTATATATATATATATTTTTTTTTTTTCGAAGTCTCTTTTAAAACGGGCATGCAGTTTGCCATTTAGTTTTTATTTTCCTTTCCTTATTTTTTTTTTTTTTTTTTTTTTAAATTTAATATCTGGTAATAAATTCTTCTGAAGTAGAGTCCAACCTCAAAAATAACTAATGGTAAAGTTTTGAATATGTGTTGAGTTCGGTTTCTGGCAAAGGAAGTAGAGCAAATTGATTTTGAGCAATGTACGGCTGGCTGTCCGTCCGTATGAATGTAGGTTATATACATTAACTACTCGCAAGATTTTCATCTCAGTAACATTTCCAACACTGAATCGAATCGAGTCGAAGTACACCATACAAATTCACTCAATCAAATTTACTGATGTTAGTTCTCATTTTATTCCATATTCATTAGGTTAAGAGACTTTAGTCCGTAAGGACATATATTTTTATATAAATTTTTACTCGGAAACTATTTCTCTAAAATCCTTGTTATTTTGCATTTCTGAAAAAAAGTCTCTTCCAAAAATTTTGTTAATCACTGTCTTGCTTACTTTTCTAATCTTGTTTTTATAAATTTGGCAATACAATTTCTGGAAGGATAACAAATGGTAAATATGAAAATTATCTAGTGTTGAAAAACGTGAACGATTCTGTGCGCTGAGTTCGCTTTCAGGCTTAAGCTAGAATTAAAGACAAAAGTGGATTAACTAAATTGTTTTTGTGCAATATCCGTCTTGCTGTCCGTCATTCCGTCCGTATGAATGTAAACCCCTTTTTGTCGCTAGGGAACCTAGAGGATTTCAATTTCGTATATATACTCGTTAGATTTTGAGAAAATACCCAATAGGAACGTGGCCAATCAGAAAGCACATTTCCCGGTATGTCATCTCTATCTCTATCAATTTTCCCGAAGATTATATGCCTATATATTCAAGAGCAACATTTTCACTCGCATTAAACTCCGCAGTGGAAGCCAGCTAAGTCTTTAGAATCCGTGATATATTCCATTAAACCTAGTAATTGGTTCCATTAGGCAAAATATCTGGTTAAAAGGAAAGACAGTGTA